CATCATCAACATCATTCGCATCATCAACATCACTAGCATCATCAACATCATCATCAACATCATCAACATCATCAACATCATCAGCGGAAGAATCAGAATGAACGTCCTCAACGTCATCAACATCATCATCGAGTACAGGACGTCAGCATCAATTTCATCAGCATCATTAACCATCATCAACATCATTCGCATCATCAACATCACTAGCATCATCAACATCANCATCGAGTACAGGACGTCAGCATCAATTTCATCAGCATCATTAACCATCATCAACATCATTCGCATCATCAACATCACTAGCATCATCAACATCACTAGCATCATCAACATCATCAACATCATCAACAACATCATCAACATCATCAACATCATCAACATCATCAGCGGAAGCATCAGAATGAACGTCCTCAACGTCCTCAACGTCCTCAACGTCATCAATATCATCAGCGACATCATCAGGATGAACATCATCAACATGCATTAACATCATCAACATTATCAACATCGTCATCATCATTATTAACATCATCGACATCATCAGGGGCAGCATAAGCATGAACAGCATAAGCATGAACATTAGGAGCATCATAACGGTACAAGATGCGACCGATGTTGTTATCTGGCGGCGAGTGTTCTTCAGTGAGCGGAAGTGTCGGCGTCCTTGATGCTGCCGTTGCATATGCTCCATCGAACGGCGATCGTTTACGGATCTCCTCGACGACCTGGACAGTTCCAACGTAATTTTCGTTTGCCGATCACGACGGTACATCTATCGATCGACAAACGACTTGCTTCCTGTGTGAGGGGGTGACTGAATTGGCGCTAATGGCTGAGCTAGCTCATGGCTGCAGTAATGGGTTTTGGGGTAGAGAGAAATATTTTGTTATTTTTTTTTCTCTTTGCCCTTCGTTCTGTTTTCTATGAAAGGTTACTTCAGTTATTTTGTCAGGATTTGCCAAGTAATCACACTCCCATGAGTGTAGCCAAACAGTGCGGAGAGATGTCATTTTTACGGGGATAGCTTTGCGAGTTGCCCCTTGAAAGATGATGTTGAAATTTGCTCGAATCAGAAGCTCACGTGGGCTTACGGGATTGGTTCGTCTGCAACCTGTGGTCCGTGTTACTCCTGGTAAGCGTGTGGTGGCAGCGACTCTCTCTCAGTCTCTCTCAGTCTCTCTCAGTCTCTCTCTCTCTCTCTCTCTCTCTCTCTCTCAGGAACACGCCCATTGAGGCATGGATCCTGACGTGCCTGCATGCGTGTGGGTGGATGGATTATCTTCACCCCTCACCCACCGTTTGCTTCTTGTTTTCCTTTCTGAAACTGACCAGGGCGGGTACGGCAGTTTATCTTAATCCCGCCGTGATGCAGGAAAACTAGAAAGCTCGTGTAGGATTGCTTGGCATGCCGCGCAGGATAAGATAAATTGCCGTAGCCGCCCTGGTAAGTTTCATAAAGGAAAACAGCAAAGCAAAATTGTGAGTGACGGTGAAGATAATCCATCCACCCACCCACATGTATGCACTCACAAGTCCATGCCTCGAGCTCTGTGTGTGTTTTGTGTGTGTGTGTGTGTGTGTGTGTGTGTGTGAGAGAGAGAGAGAGAGTCAACACGCAAAGACATTTGGTGTCACATGGGTAGTTTGATAGCAGGTCGGAAACTGAATCGGGTTTTGAAGAGCAGATGCAAGACTGTCTTATCTCTAGTAGATTTTTTATTTTCAATAGATTTTTTTTATTTCCAACTGAGTGGCTATGGCTGCCGGAGATGGTGCACGCTTGACGCCATGGTGCTGTGAAGAGGTGCGTTCAAGGTGCGGTTAGCAATGGTCACTCCTGTCTTTTTTCGTCTTCAGTGCGTCTAGCAATGGTCAGGTCATGGTTTTTCGTTCTCCATCTTCCTCTTTTGTATCTTTTTCCTATAGGTCCTCCACGTGACTGCGGATGGCTGTAAACTGGCCTCCCTTGTTCATCCACTACATTAGGTCGAATCCAGTCTGAAAGGGTGATGAATTGGGCTGTGATTTGGAAATCCTCATGGACGACTTTCGGAGATTTGACTTCTACGAACTAGCACAACCATAACGGAATGCTCCTCTATTTGTTGTTAAGTTTTTTTAGGTGATATTGACGCCAATGGACAACCTCTTTGTTTTTTTGTGTTGTTTAGTGTTGTATCGTGGTGCCAAGGATCCAATTTGATAGCGTGCTCGACAGCTTCTAGCGTGGACACCCGTAAAAGGTGAGTGGGAGAAGGTGGAACGTGATTTGCATAGAGGATCCTCAGGGTGCAATTATTGGAAAGGAACAAGTTTCAACAGAGATAGTGATTTTCACGAGCTGCACTGCATCGTCATTACCGTTCTTTTGTGTTTTTTTTTTCGGTATTTTTATTACTCAGGGGCTTAGACTGTGGTATCTGAATTCCAAATCCTGAAATATCTGTACCAGTGTCCAAATTCCCATGAACTGGCACAGGATGACTGCTTGCTTTTGTATTTTTGAATTTGCTATGTGATTTTTTTCCCTGTTCTTTTTGCGGGAAATTCAACAAATACACCCCTTGGCAGTCCTATGTTGTCTGTCGTTGCGTTGTGTTTGGCGCCGTCCTTCTGGGACTAAAGTCCATCTGAGTGTTCACATTGGTGTAACTGGTGTTTCTTTTTTATTTCGGTGTTTGTGAGCAGGCTGTGGTTCGGAATTGTCGGGAGAAGAATGTCTAACATGTTGATAAGCAATTGCATGTCACCGTTTCTTTCCTCGTGTCATCGTTTCTTTCCTCGTGTCACCGTTCCTTTCCTCGTTCCTTCTCCACGCCACCCTTTCTTTCTCTCTCCATATCGACCTCTGTCTTTCTTCTTCCTTGTAACAGGTGGGGCCAGGCACCATTCTTCTACATTCCTGTGCATCTTGTGGATCCTTCCAGGCCAAATGAGCACACAGTTTTGCGAGTGAGATCAGGTGCGTCCATCAGGATGGGATTTGGCTTGTGTCACCGTCTCTTGGTTTGGCACGTGCACCATCTCTTTTGCTTTTAGCCATTTGCACCTGCTGTGGTTAATGACTTGTGAAAAACTGCCATTCAACTGTCGTCTGCCTGCTGGCTGATGCACTCATTCATTGCAACACGTGTACTGAGTGAAGGGTGTGTGGAATGCTGAATGGGCTCTGTCTATTGCTCGGAACCGCACCTGAGTAGGTAGTCTTCTTCTAAGTCTTTTCTACAAAAGACCGTATGCTAACGCCAATTTGCCCTTTTTGAAAACCTAGGTGCACTTGAGTGATTCTTAGCAGCCAGGACTGCCTCTGCCACGGGTGCTATGAACATTCAGATGTCTGGGTTCACCATCTACATGTGCATTCTTATCTGCTTGTGTGTTTTTGAGAGAAACTTTCTGCCAGAACACCAGTTGATGCTCAACTTGGTGATACACAGACTGCTTATGTGGTGCTTGAATCATATGACTGCTTAAATGTTCAATTGCTGAAAGTGGTGTATAAAAAAAAAAAAGATGAAATGTAGGTGTGTGCTGGATGTGGGTGGTCACATGAACACCACTCTGCGCTGGTGATTGCCATCGGACTATCTTAAACCAGGAGTACCCCCGGGGGTCTTAGCCCCCCTCTGGGCCTGCTCTGATGCAAATTCATACGGACGCGCGCTGTGCACCGGTTCAGCCACTGCGTTAACGACCTAAAAGCGTGGAGCTACTGGTGGTTTAAATGTATAGAGGTTGTGGAAGAGAAAAGGCTTTGGGTTAGGCATCACAGCAACACTGTCCTTCAACCCTGTTTTGCTCTTTCTTCCCAAAAGAGGAGATCATCTTATATTTCCAAAAACGGCAAAAGGTTAAACATTGCCATCAACACTAGAAGAGGTGACTGCGATCTGGAGATGCTGCAAGGCGGCACAAAAAAGTGATCGCCATGCATAAGATTGCGATTGCACCCAACACAGTGGTCTGTCGAAGATATCAAACGCCTCTCTGATTTTGTTTTGGTATTTCAGTTCCTATGGGGGGATGCATGCCTGTTGTACAGCCCTTTTGGTGTGGTTTGTGGCAGATCCACTGTGAGTCACGTTGTCATAAATTCACATGCGCTGAAACATCTGCATGCCAGTCTGTCAGGGGGCTAAGGGCTCATTGGTAGAACAGTAATCATACCCTGGGACATGCACAAGTAAGTGTCCAGGCTGAGATTGTGGGGAGGCCTCACTCAAGGAGAGCTGAGTGAGAGCTGCACCTCCTAACTGTTGCTGCAGGATTGGACCTTTACCGATTGACTCATTTCCTTAGGGACCATGGGAGGTTCTCATTCCTGTTTCTTTTCGTTTCTTTTTTCCAGTTTTTTTAATGGTGTACTTTTTATTTTGGTGAAAAGTCTTCACTGTCTGAACATTTGTCTGACATTTGCACCTCCACGCAGAGTTTTTTTTTTGAAAAAAATGTTCTCTGGGCCCTCTGTCTTTGAGCCCTGACAGACGCCAGCAGACAAAGAGGTTCTCGACAGGTTTAGTATCTGGATCACACCTCTCTTCCTTGTCTCCCTTGACCCTATTTGATGGAAGACCTGAGAAGAGCCAGCAGGCTGAAAGCATGTTTGGAAAGAGCTCGAGGCAGCAAAAAGCTGCACAGAGTGTTTGTCAGTCGACCAGTTTTGACTGGGCAGCTGTTGCAGTTGGCATTCTGTAGTAGGGGGACATGATGCCTGGAGAGGTCGATTGGCAGGTAAGACTTGGCTCACAGGGCTTAAGATCAGAAATGTTCTATGGGGTGTGAGTACGAGTGAGGTCAAATTATCTGCTACAAAAAGGGAACACTTAAGGCAGGTACAGATGGTTTTAGACAAATGAATAGGTGAGTGTACATGGTGAAATTGGTCTTTGAAAGGCTGGCAGTAAAGGCACTCAGATTTGCTGTGCCACAAGGTGCCCTAGTTTATTTGTGGTTGCCTGAGGAAGGGCTATACAATCACACAAAGCAGTGGTCCTGAATGGCCCAGAGTTTATGGGTTCTGAAAGGCAATCAGATTTGCTGCACTGCAAGGTGCCGTAGGTTATGGGTTCTGGAAGGCACTCAGATTTGTGGTTGCCTGAGTAAGGGCTATACAATCGCACAAAGCAGTGGTTCTGAATGGCACTCAGATTTGCTGCACTGCTGTACTGCAAAGTGCCCTAGTTTATGGGTTTTCTGAAGATGAGGCCCTTAGGAATGCCTGCAACGCACCAATGCGCCTAGCTCAGTTGATACACCCATGCACTGTTTAAATCCAGACCTGAGTTCGAGTCCAGATGGATCTGAATGAATGGAAAAATTCTTCATTTACCCTGGGCCCAGTAAGTTGCACGATGATATCTCAAAGTCGTTGCCCTTTAAAAAGGAGGCCAAAAGAAGGGAAAGAAAGTTAAAAAAAGGAATGCCTGCAACATACCAACGGGCCTATCTCAGTTGGTATACCCACAAACTGTCGAACACGGACCTGTGTTCGAATCCAAATGGAACTAGATGAACGAAGTTCTTGAATTACCTGGTGGCCCATCGTTAAAAAAAAAAAAAAGGAATGCGTGTAACACTGCTAGAGGCTTGAGTGATAGCATGCAAGAGTTGTCTTGTTTTTCTAATAGACTGTGGGAGATCTCCCTGGTTTACAGCGAGGTCATAGAACAACTGTGTGGGCTTGAGTGCTGCTATCGTCTTCTGGATAAGAGAAGGCTGCGAAGGTAGATGAGAACGTTTGAGGTCAGGATGGGGGGCATAAAAGGTCAATTGCCCAGTCTATTCTTCAGGGTTGCGAGGAAGAGGACTCGGGAAGTTCTTACAGGGGTCTTCGGAAGGTATGGGAAAATATGGAAAAACAAGAATGGGAAAATATGGGAAGGACCTTCCGGTACCCTAGAGCCTAGCTCAGTGGGTACACCCATGAATTGTTGAAATACAGACCCGGGTTCGAATCCAGATGATGGAAGTAAAACCAAATATTTTTGAAGTACCTGGGAAGGTCAGCTCAATGATGACTGTTTCTTATACACATCTAGATGTGTATAAGAGACAGTCTCAAGGCCGTCACCCCTTTTTTTTCTAATAAAAAGGGAAGGACCTTCCGGTAGGATACATCGGGATAGAGGATGAGTGGAAAGTACGGGACAGACAGGAGTTTATCATGAGTGGAGGCTTGTAAGCGAAACTGGGTAAGGCTCCCAGGATAACCCCGGGTTGAATTGTGAGGTCCCCGGCCTCGGTCTGTCTTTGGAATGCAATGCAATAAGTTGTTTTTTTTGTGTTTTTTTTTTTGAGGAAAGGACCTGAGATGTGGCTAGATTTTGTGACCTCGAACAACGTAACCACCGCGAAGTAGGATATGTCTTGTTGGATTTTTTGGGATCCACATACAACAATGTGCAGACTTACTCAGCATGTTCTAGGTCAATCTGTCTTCATGAGATGTTGATGTTGAGGTTTGTCAAGAACATTGGTCTAGAAGCTCCCGACTGCAATGGATTATATCATCTAGATTTGTGCAGTCAGGGTGCAGAAATAAGTTTCGACAGTCAGCATGGTCAGTCACTGTTCAGTAAAGAGTCAGACTGCCATCGTCAACCTGGTGGATGGCAAGTATACAGATGTAATTGTTACAGAACAAAACGTGAGTTCAAATTCTGAAGAATGCAAAATGTTAAGGGCCAACTCCATCTTTTTTTCGGTTGGACAGTTTAGATCTCCATGGACCTCACCTGATGTGGGTCCACAGTGAGAAGGAGGTTAGGTGTCAGGCCGGACTCGTGGTATGTTTGTATTACGTGAGCGTGAACATGAACAATGTTTCCACCGGCTCGACACTTTGCGAGCACGAACATAGTGCCATTAGGGTCTGGCTGGCCCCTTAGCGTTGGGAATTTTGGCTGGACAGTGCACTTTGGGTCCACCTGCGCCATTCATTTGTGAAGTGGGCACGCGCTCAGCACTTTCTCGATTCGTCCTGACTTTTCCTCTGCTTGGAGACAAATACTGGCGGGCAGTTATTGATAATTATGTAATGACCCACCAAAACACAGACTGAGAACACTGCTGGTTTCTGGGATTTGCCGTTGGAATGTATGCCTTGCTGAGATTCCCGCATTCTGCTGTGATTTCTAAGTCTGTGTGTGTGCGTGCCTGCTGGTCTGCGTGCCTGTCTGAGTGCTTGTCGGTTGGTGCTTACCCGTGGCCGTGACTTTTGAGGGTTGCGTTGCTGAGATTCCCGTATTCTGCTGTGGGTGCGCGCCTGCTGGTCTGCGTGCCTGTCTGAGTGCTTGTCGGTCTGAGTGTGTGTGACCCACAAGGGTAGTTGTTGGGTTGTAGGCCCCGCAGGGCCGGTGCTTACCTGTGGCCGTGACTTTTGAGGGTTGCAGCAGGGAAAACACTCAAGTAGCGGGGTAGGCCCGCGACACTTAGAGCAGGAGGAAAAACACTCAAGTAGCAGGTAGGCCGGTACCGCTCGAGTAGTGGTAGAAGCGTTGGGTACTCGAGGCCGAGCAGAAGAAGACAAAAAGTTGGCATTTTTAGATGTCCAGTAGCGGTAGGCTAGAGGTAGGCCGGTACCATTCCAAGTAGCCTGAGTCTAGGACCTGTACGAACAATATCAGAGCCTGCAATGATGTTTCCCTCCAAAAGGGAGGAGGTACCGGTTGCTGGGAGGCCGCGTGGTCTAGGAAGTTACCGCCCAAGAGGCAAGTAGGCCGCTATATCTTCTGGAGGAGCAAGTAGCTCCTCCTCATTTGCGGTGTGCAAGGATTTTGATATACTGCTGGAGCCAAGCGCTGGAATTGCAGCGCTGGGGGAAAGGTCGACGAAGGAGCTGGGCGCTCAGCCTGGCTATGGCGAGCAGCCCACCCCGAGGATGAGGAAGAAGGGGGCGAAGGAGGAGAGTGGCGAGGTACCTACCTGGCTATATTGCAATGACTTGCTGATTTCTACTGCCGA